AAGAGAGAAAGAGACAGAGAGAGAGAGAGAGTAAGAGAACAGAATCGTATAGGTCTAGTGTGAGATAAAAGTGATATAAAAAGAGGGTTTCATCTATATAGGATAGAAGCTTATATTGAATCATAACCAGTTTTGCATCCTCAACGTGGCTCGAATAAACTCTCATACATTTTGCATAAATCGAAAAGTCTACCGTATAAGAGCTTTGAGAGAAGATTCTCTCTTCTCTTTCTCTCTCTCTCTCTCTCTCTCTCTCTCTCTCTCTCTCTCTCTTTCTCTCTCATATGATATACATATTAATTCAACTTATCTTCTTGTATTATTGAAGAGAGATATGAACGAAAATTTCTTATCCTACGAAGATAAAGAAAAATTATTCCACCGATCAGATATATTTATAAGTTATTTATATCAAAGATGAAAAGACAGAGAGAGAGAGAGAGAGAGAGAGAGAGTGAGAGTGAGTGAGAAAATTTTGATATATTAAAAGAGAAAGATGTATATATATATATATGTTATATATTAGGTATATATTATATTTATGTATCCATTAATATAAAATAATATGAACATAATATGTATATATTAAAGAAAATGTGAGAGAGATAGATAGATAGGTAGAGAGAGAGAGAGAGAGAGAGAGAGAGAAAGGAGGGGAAAGAGAGAGAATGGATTAAAAATGAAAATGAATATTTATTTTAATTTGAGCTAAGAAAAAGAAGGATAGAGAAAGAGATTGGCTAATTAAATAGAGAGCTGGAGAGATCTTAGGGAGAAGTAGATTTATAATCATGGTCCATTGAGATACTTTATAAAGCTTTTTCAACTAGTCGTCTTGAGAAAAGTTGTTTGCTCCGGGAAAATAGAAAAGGATGGATGAAGAGTTGAAGAAGGTAGAAGAAGAAGAAGAAGAGATAGAAGAAGAAGAAGAAGAGATAGAAGTAGAAGAGGAAGAAAAAGGGTAGATGAAAAGGAAGATCGAACGTGGTAAGCGTGGACTCGCAAAGATTGAATTTTTTTCTATCTACTTTCCTTCCTTCACTCTTTTTCTATTTAGAAAGAGACAGCTAATCCATCTCGTATGCACTTCACTGGTCATTCCTATTCGACGACTTAATGGACATTTCTTGTATTTCAATGTATACGATTGCTCTTTGGGATCTTTTTTTTTCCTCCCCTCCCCACCCCTCGATCCACTGGCAAACGTCTTACCTTTTTTATTTTTTTTTCTTTTTTTTTTTCTTTCTTCTTTTTTTTTTCTTCTTTCTTTATCTTTATCGACGTTGATATAAAAAAAAAAGAAAAATATTAGAAACGAATGTTCTTTTTATTACAAGAGGTACGGGATAGGAGGGGATGAGAGGAGGAAGAAAAGGAGGAGGGGTGGGAAGGAATAAGGAGAATTGGAAAAGAGATAAATAAAAAAGAATAAATAAAATTATTTTAGGAAATATCAATTGAAATATATTGAAGATCTCGACTTTTTCTCAATATTTTTATTTATTCGTTTATTCTGTTTATTAAATATGGTGTATTGATATTTTCTCGTTTTTTTTTCTTCTCTTTCTTTTTTTTTTTGTTTTCTCTTTGTTTTTCTTTTATTAACAAACTTTCATAACGTTACTTTATGCTTCTTTTTATTTGATTTTGACAAAGTGGCATTTATACGTTATTTATTTATTTTCTTTCTTTTTTTTTTTTTTTTTTTTTTTTTTTTTTTTAATATAAAAGAATATAAAGAACTTTTTTTTCTGATTAAGCATAAAATATCGAGACATTTTTTTTTTTTTTTTTTTTTGATATATAATGATATCAATTATTACTATTATTGTTATTATTATTATTATTATTATTTTCTTTCATTTTTCTTTCATTTCTATAATAAAAATAGTACCGAATTTACACGGAAGCTATTTGTTTGAATTTATATTACACGTGTCACGTAATTGAATTGTAATAAAATTTGTATAGTTACATATATAGAAAAATGTCATCCATCGTTTCATCCTAATTGAAAAGTTCACGGAACGGAAAATTAAAAAGAACGAAAAGATAAAAACAAAACGATCTTCTTGGTACGTTAAATGCTTACATCATTGTTTAAAGTCACTCGTGAGACATTTTCAATTAGAACTTTTGTTTCGAATATTCGTACCAACCTATCGTAACGTTATTCTCGTCACGTATTCGTCTGGAATAAAAATCCATTCGAAGTTTAGAATTCGGACGATCTAACAGTAATGGCACCTGTTGCCATTAGAACAGGTCTTCCGTTTTGTTTCGATTGAAGTTTTTCTATGATACATATTTTATATATATATATATATATATATATATATATATATATATATATATATATATTCAATGAAAACATCGAAGTTCGATAATGAAAAATTGAACTAAGTTATAAGAAAAAAAAGAAGAAATAAAAAAGAAAGAAAACAGAACAAAATACAAAATAAAAATAAACAAGGGAAAAATACGAGGAAGATGTTAAGAT